TTTTTTTAAATATATTTTATTGATTTTTTACAGAGAGGAAGGGAGAGAGATAGAGAGTTAGAAACATCGATGAGAGAGAAACATCGATCAGCTGCCTCCTGCACATCTCCTACTGGGGATGTGCCCGCAACCCAGGTACATGCCCTTGACCGGAATCGAACCTGGGACCTTTCAGTCCGCAGGCCTACGCTCTATCCACTGAGCCAAACCGGTTTCGGCTAAGCCCACTTTTTTAAGTCTTAAAAATTCTCAAAACTTTAAGTCCTGCCAGTACAGAAACAATGCAAGTAGCTAAAAAGGAAGGGGGTGAAATTCTCAAAGCATAACTACAGACTTGCTCTTTTTACTTAATTATGGATGAGTAACCAAGTAAAATGGACTCTAAGCCTCATCCCAACATCCATGTCTGCATTACTTCTCACTCAGAAAAAACTTCCTAAACTGCTAACTGACCCAGAGTCCACCAGGCAAGCAAGGGCTAAACTAAATGGAACATAATAGCTCACCTTTTCCTTGGAATTCCGTTTAATTTTATCAATTAAATCAGATAAAAAGCTATTTAGCTAAATCTTTCTAGACCTCTAAAAGACTATGTATATATAGACTCTCTATATGACTATATACATAAAGAGATTTTATGTACATATGAAAAAGCACCTGCAGAGATCAGAAAGTTGGTGCTTGCAGTACAGATTTGGAAAGTACCAAACAGCTCTCCTACCTCATCACACCCGAGGGACAGGGAGGGCTGTAGGGGACAACCAGCACTCTTGTAAAGAGAAAGATGGGGTGGGAAGGTAATGCTGAGGAAACCTTCCACTAGCCTCAATTTTATAAAAATCAACTTGTGGCTATGCTACAATTAGTCCATTAACACTCATTCAGAGATGTTCGATTTTTTAGGTCTCCTTTTATCAAAAATTCTGTCTAAATGACGTCTTTCCATTCACATCCTTCAAGTCCCACATCTCCAGAAGTACTAAATATCAGTTGAATCTGTTGCTAATAAGCAGTTATTTCCTGAAATCTTAGATGCCTCTTTTTTATCCTGTTGAGTTACCAGTACCCTGGGACTTAACTTCACACAATCTTCTCCTTCAAATTTGAGTCTCATTTAATCTGGCTCCAGGCAAGTTTATTTTCATTACATCAAGATGTATTGGGTAACCCTGGCCGGTGGGCTCAGTTGGTTAGAGCATCATCCCATGCACTGAAGAGTCTCAGGTTTGATTCCCAGTCAGGGCACTATATCCAGGTTGTAGGTTTGATCCCTGGTCAGGGTGTGTGCAGGAGACAATCAATTAATGTTTCTTTCTCTCTCTCTCCCCCACTCCCTTCTTCTCTTTCTAGAATCAAAGAAAAACCACACACATGCAAAAAAAAAAAAAAAAAAAAAAAAATCCTCAGGTGAGGATTTTAAAAATAATGATGTATTGGGCAGAGTGCTAGCTAGTATGCCTATAAAAGAAATAAAGCTACGTGGGGCTTTTTCCCCCTTTTTTTGTCATTAGGCCTCTCCCAGCCTCTTTCCGTTTTCCCCTCATTCTCACCCTCTTACCTATCTTGAGAGCGCTTAACTTGGCCATACCTGGAAACCTACAATCCACTGTATTTACCAAGTAAAGTGAGCATGCCCATACTGGCTTACAAGGCTGTTTAGGATGGGTGTAAGCATATACAAAAATAAAGGTAAACAGTGTTTGATAAAGCAGAAAATGAAATGAATTCCAGGAGACCAGGGTTCTAGTTACAGTGTGAACTTAAATCATAATCTTATCTCAGAATTTGAAAACAGTGTTCGAACACCTAATTTTGCTTGAGTAATTGCCCTCATGGGGTGTTGCAGTTTCCCCGTTTCCCTTCCTCTGGGCTGATGGTATAATCCAGGAAGGTGCAAAGCACGGGCATAAGTGGTTTCCCATCTTCTCAGTAGTTCCTTATGGTTCCCTGGACATCCTGGATTTTGGCACTACTGAAAATGGATTGTGAACACAGAATAAGCCACACTAATGTAAGAAATTCAGAGCTGCCTTATTGGGTCATGCTCAGAGACCAATCCACCAAGTCTTCCTTCTGACACAAACATGAAAAGTCTAGTTGTTTGCTGCCTTAAAGCTTCAACCTCAAAATGCTGGCAAAATCACTCACAGTATATCATTCAGCTAAGAATTTATCTAAGCTTATCCAAAATGTCTACTTCCGTTGTACTCAGAATGAGCCCCACACGATTTATTTCCTGCTGTGTTATTTCTTTAACTTTCCTTGCACCTCTCTCAAACTTAAAAGGGAGTCACCTTAATTTAGTAACTCCAGATTGTCTGCATCATCCAGAACCATTCATGATTTTATAAATATTAGTCAAATATGCCAGTCCTTTTTCCTCCCTGTAGCCAAAGACTGACTCTGGTTATGTAACTTTAATGCTATATTATCATCTCAAGCCTTTTCTTTTTAATTAATTTTTTTAGAGAGAAGAAGGGAAAGAGAAACATCAATTTGT